TAATCACTTTGCACCCAAACACAATGCAGTTGTCAGGGCTGTTTTTCAACAAGTGAAAAACATTTATTTACATTCATAAACCAGAGGGTTTTTTGAATAATTTAATTATCTGGGTTTTTTAATGGGAGTTTAAATCTACATGCACTACACACAAATTTCAACAGAAATTTCCCTCATACAGAATTATCCAGTGCTAGAGGATTCCAAAAGATGAGTGCATGATCTGTACTATGGTTACTGGAACAACACAGAAGTGAGACTGCAGAGACATGGATATAGTCCCTTAAAGGACTGTTTTGGAATTAAGAAAATAAGTAGAATTTATGAAAGTAAAGTAATTTTGGTACTTTGGCAAGTTTCTAAATGTTTTCAGGAGCAAAGCAAAACCAAATTCAGAAGTTATTTGATATCTCAGCTTAATCAGAACATGACAAAATGGCAAATTAGCTCTCCAAATCTAAAGAACAAATGTTGGACCCCCTTCCCCACAATTCTGGCAAACACTTTATCTTTATTAAAGCAATTTATCCATATCAAAGCTATACTGAACCTAGCAACATTTTAGGGTTCTAGGCAAAGACATGTGTTAATTCTCCCAGACTTTATAAATATATATTTCTGTTTTCTAGATGTTACTTTTATACTTCTGTGTATTTGGTATTACCTTTTGTAACTCACCCTTTATTTACTTTATTATTATTACAACCATGGGTCAGCATTGTTAGATATACAAGTGTAAAATACAGTAGCATTACATAATATAAAATGCAATCACATTATATATTAATAATCAATACAAAACAGATTGAAATTCAAATTAAGGTTAGATATTGATTTCCAATCTGCAGTGATTTAATCATCTTTTTCATTATTGTAGAAGCCACTGCACAAAATGTTTCAACCTTAGCTGCAGTTGAGGAATCGGAAGGAAGAAAAGAGATGCATCATGTATTTGGTCTACAGTGGGGTCTCTACTTAAGAACTTAATCCGTATTGGAAGGTGGTTCTCAAGTGGAAAAGTTCTTATGTAGAATCTGCATTTCCCATAGGA